CAACGCTGCTGTGCGACCGTAACCGAATTACCTGATTACCCGACCGCTTCGGTTCCTCCTCGTCGGCGATGTGTGTCCAACACGATGGTGTATCCATCCAGCGCGATGGCGCCGTCCACACAACTTCCGAAAAGTCTTCTCCGCTGATCGCCACACTCTCTCGGGGCTGTTCACGCTCAACGACCTGATTTGACGCTCCACCGTCCACACCCAGTCGTTTTTCGCTAGCGCCCAGCGCAACGACATCGCCGACGCCGATAGAGTCGACGACAACCCGACAAAGGCCACCACACCCTGTTCAACATCAGAACGACTACGGTAGCCGACGTTTATGGGCGGACCCCTCATCAAAGGACATATTACACACGACACCTGTCCCACACTCGCTCACACCCACTCGGATGGCAGAAGACGTGACTGAATTCACTAGGGCGACGAAACTACTGTTAGACACGTGACGAAGACGTTGATGGAGTATTTTTGACGAGTGACATCACCATGAGAGAACACTTGGCCGCTGCGCACACTCGGCGTGGGCTATCGTCACATGGAACATTCGTCTTCTTAAACAGAAACAGCCAGTTTTATTGATCAAGATGGCAGAATACCAGTTATCAGGTCGTACAGTGCGATTTAAAATCAGGTTACTTTGACGGAGTGGTTGAGGTGTCGATTAAATGGTGTCAGACTCATTTGGCTAAGAAAAACACCGAATTGGACGGCGGGTGGTCCTGTACTTAACTGCATGGACCCAATACGGGTAGATCGATGATTCAAAAATATTACAAATGAAACCTAAGTACTTGGACAATCCCGAATGGTTTTGATCGAGTGCCTGTCTCACATTTTTGAATAATATTGCCGTCCAATGAATTTAAGGACAGGGAAGAAAAAAGTGCACTGTGGGACGAATCCCCGCCCATTTCTCTTTCACACCTAATATTATCTCACCCACCCCTTTTGGACAGCCTTCACAGGAACCTCCCTAATTCACCCGGGAGAAGGAGTTTTAGCCCTTAATTGTTGACGGCATCGGAGGTATAGGAAAGGCTTCTTTCTTGTTCGGACGTTTGTTTCTGAACGATACGAACAATATGATTGAAATGTTGAAAATGGAAGGGGTCCACAGAAGTTCTTGATAGTACGGCATCTTGATTCGTGTGGGAGTGAACCTACGTAGTCTGGACAAGAAGCTGACTCTTGGACCGATTCCCTTACCACAGAAATGAGGGCTTTCAGCCCCAAATGGGGACAGATCTCTTGGAGTATCTTCAAGTAGTAGTCTTAGATTGTTTGAGCTCTACCAGTTTCATTGGTCATCAGATTTGTGGGCTGTTAAGATAGTGTCCCGCCGAGTATCTTCGTTTCATCTGTATACATACCCACACTCATGTTTCGGAGATGAAATCCCGGATAGGTCCCCATCTGGGCCGACCTCCTGCAAGGCCAAAGATAGTACTAGTCTTGTCTAGAAAGATGGGAGAACTGAACTACACCTTATACGGATCCCGCGATTCGCTCTGCATCCAGTACGCATCCAAACGTCGTTCTTCTGAGTTTTGGTTCGAGGATGATGTAGGGCCCATACCAACTTCTGTTATTCAACGCTGAAAACTTTATCCTAGTCCTTTATTGTGATATTCAATGGAACTGTTTTTAAAAAGACGATTAAAACTATCATCATCGAACGGTGTTATTTCAGGTCGACAGTAATGACGACTCAGGCCGTGCTACGACGTCCTCTGAAGCCTCATCCGTATGCGATTTCCCTGCCGACGACGAACCTACTGGTAAGAAAAATTTTCAGAGCCTTTTTCATCTGGAGGAATCTTCCCTTTTATGGAAATAGTCGATCAAAGTGATCGAAGATGAAATGGTGTCACATTAGCCTTGAACATTCCTCGGCCGAAACTCCCAGCATGCGCTTCAGAAATCACCGCGCTGCTGTGGGTTCAGTTAAGTAAATCGGAGAGTTCAAGGCCAACTCACTACGAGGAATTTCACTCAAATATTTGTCAAGTTTTCAAAGATCTTTTCTATTTTCAGCCTTTCTTCCCTACCGTAGCCGGTTACCATTTGGTTCCACTCAATCGGTATTCGATCAAAATGATTTTTCGACAATTTCCTCACGATTGGAACACATTAAGCAGGAATTCTTTGCTGGAACTGATAGTGAGTTTATCGAGGAAATGTTGGCCACCGCAGGCAGTACCGATAGTTTTCCATTGTAGAACCCTATGCCTC